TCATCTCACGTCTTTTGCTTCACTATTGAACACAATCTAAACGGAGCAACAGGATGTTCCCTGTGACACAGAAAAGGGGAGTCACATGCTGCAGCGTTTGTTCACATGTTTGCTTCTCTTTCTAAAACAAGTCTTGGCACAGTTTGAGACACATATCAATTTTATGCCTGGGAACAATAGGCCTAAAAGTGATGTGATACCAAAGGTTGTAACCTTTGGAGCCTTCAAGATAAACTTTCCCTTCCTTCACAGCGTCTGACTAATGCTGAAGGACAAAGCCTGTTCACAGCGGTTGGAGAAGACAGAGAGAGCCTGTTGTTGTCAGAATAGGCCATTTCGACTTCCTTAGGTTCGCCAGTGGTACCAAGAAAACTGTGCCAAGCCATTGTGTGGGAACATGTGTTACTGTTTGTGGCCATGTAACTGTGTCACTAAAGCTGTTAGGTGTGACTCTGTGACCCTCGTGCAGGACATGTCTGCCTCACAGTTCCTGAGCACTGAGTAACATTTGTGGCAAAGTGCATGAACTTATGAAGTAAAACGTTATTTTGTGCTTTACCTTACCTACCTATCTTCACCATATGGGGCAGGTTTGTTGCACATCTGTGTAGTTTCTGCATATATTAAAGTTATAACCAACACCTTTTAAAAGGTGCAACTTTTACTTTAAAAACATTTCGCATGGCACTTTTTAAACTTTCACTACCGCTCAGCGAATAGTTGGCGAGTGTTCGCGAACATGTCAGCAACATCTTCCATCCAAACTGCAAGGCAACTGTGGAAACCTGCTAGCAGCATACCGCCATGCAACCAATTTTACCTGCCTGCCGACCGCCACTCGCCAACTGGTCAGGGAATAATTCCCGTGGTGATTGTGTTGAGGTCGCCAAACTGTTTCCAGCCCTAAGATTCACTATTAAATACTTACTGAAACCTTCCTTGTCAGCAAGATTAAGCAAAAATTACCAGGTGGCGCCCAAAATGTCGATTCTGTTCAACTGGACATAGTGTTTTCAGTGGCAGAAAAAACGTTTCATCACTCATCCAAGTGACGTCTACGGTCTCAGCTGACTGCAGGTTCCCCAGGTGGTGTAATACCAGGTGGAGGTTCATGAAGGGGAGGTACAGCAGTGCAGGGAAGTCTCTTGGTTTGAATCTGCTGGTCTGGAGCCCTTCTTTTTTTCTCAGGTTGCATCATTTTCCACGGTCCATTGGCTGTAGGTGCGTTTGTGGCTGTGAACTGTATGTCTTGTGTGTCTATCTTTGTTAGCTCTGCGATGAACCGGCGACCAGTCTGGTGTGTACCCCATGTGTGCCAGACTACAGCCTATCTGGTAGTTAGGAAGATGTATTAACAGAATTGCAAGTAAACACCCCCACCCCCACCCAACATTCAGATTTAGATCATTAGTTATGGGGGAGTGCTGCTCACTCTCAGTGCTTCTTTAGCTTGGAGTATGCAGTCATTTTAATCCTTAAAAAAACCTGAAACCCTAAAAAAGCAACACTGTACTGTAACTGGTGCAGTTTGACTGTAATACTGTAAGAGAGGATCTGAGATCTCTGGGGCAAAAGTAGCATCTGAAGGATTGAAGAGGCACATCCTGAGGCGCAGACACCTGACAGGCTGACATCTACAAGCTAATGAAACATTTCAGATTCCCGTTGCGTAGGCAGGCATCTTAATCATGTGCAATTCAAGTGAAGAAGATACTGATTCAAAATGACTCAATTGTTTTAGTTTTTTGCCACTATTCTCACCAGCAATTTGCAAGTTGCATTAAATTTCTTTCTGTTGTGCAAATACACATTGCTGCTCTCATGGGACTGCAGTTTTTCCTTTGGCATAAGCAGAACTTGAGCATTTTATCCTGTAACAAAGTCCTGACTGAAAGTAGGTTGTGTATACAGACAGCATGAGGTCGGTGGCTTGCAGCTTGCTTGCTTTTATAACTGCTGTGCCAACAACACCCCAAAGAAGTATGACTAAACCTCCTCTGCTGAGGCAGTAGGGAATCTGTTCAGATACAAGTCCTAAAGGCTAGAAAGCATTTTTATGAATCACCAACCTTGAAGGTGACCTGGAGATCAAGATTTCTTGATGATATGTCTGTAAAAACTGGACAAAATACAAATTCTATTAAGGAGGTTTGCTCTTTGTGAGAACATTTCTTCATCCTGACTCCTACAGCAACAAAAATCCTGGTTAATAAAACACTTGTGAGTGAATTTTCTCGCCCATTTTGCTTCGCCAGCAGATTTTAAAAATATATTTACATTAACCTAAAACTTAAGACTATAAGATATTAGTAGTATATTTATTTGTTTGGTAATTGTCATGTATATCATTGTCATGTTCAAGAAAAAAGTTTGAGATGATTTGATCTTTGTGACACAGCCTTCAGCAGATAGGTATACTGTGGTTTTAAAGGGATGGACATGGTCAGAAACTATACTTAGGCAGGCTTCGGGGTTAAATGATACTAAGTCGGTATTAAGTGGTCTAAATTGTGTCAAAAAATATCCCTACACCGCTGCACCACCACCAGCAGCAGTGTGAATCACTGATACCAGGCAGGATGGATTCATGTTTACAACAAATTGTGACCCTATCTCCTGAAAATTGCAACAGAAATCGAGACTCATCAGAGCAGGAAAATGTTTTCCATTTTTCTGTTGCCCAGTTTTGATGTGCCTGTGTGAATTGTAGCCTCTGTTTCCTGTTCTTAGCTGACAAAAATGGCACCCAGTGTGGTCTCCTGCTGTTATAGCCCATCTACTCCAAGGTCCCATGTGTCATGTGTTCAGAAATGTTCTTCTGCAAACCTTGGTTGTAACCAGTAGTTAGTTTAGTTATTGTTGCCTTCTTATCAGCTTAATGAAGTCTGGCCTTCTTATCTGACCTCTGGCAACAACAAGGCATTTTCACTGGGAGAAATGCGGCTCAGTGAGTATCAGTCCAAAAAAGAAGAAGATTGTTATGTGGGAAAATCCCAGTAGAGCAGCAGCTTCTGAAATACTCCCACCAGGTCATCTGGTGCTAAAAAACATGCCACTTTCACAGTCACTTAAACCGCTTTTGATACCCATTCAGATACTCAGGTTTGAACCTTAGTGTTTCATTTGGCGCAGGTCTACATGCATTGAGTTGCTGCCATGTGATTGGCTGATTAGAGATTTCCATTAACAAACAGCTGAAAAAATATTGTTAAAAAATCATTTATTTTTTAAACAAGTAGTTAAATAGGTGTACCTATTAAAGTGGCTCACTGACCCGATCTGCAATTCAGCATCTTCCTCACTTTGAGTACTTGCCTTCTCCTCAGCTTAGCACTTAGTAATGAATCAATATCCCCGTGTGTCATCTCCTTTTGTGTAATACCTCCGGTGGGCAATGAGCATACATTTTATGCAGAAAATCCTGTGTGGGAAAGACACCACACTTGTTTTTATCATTATTTTAACTACAGAGACACAGATGTGCAAAGAGACTGACATCCCTGAAAAGCCTTTTATAATGCATGCAGTGCGTGTTTGCCACCGGTGTTATCCCAAGGCATGAATCCAGAGATTTGTTATCAGGCTGGTCTGTTGATCTTTTCACTTGACCAGAGAAGTTTACAAGAACGGCGAGCACCTGTATGTTTACCTGGTGCTTGTTTATCTGTGTTTGCGCAATGAACTAGGAAAAAAAATCATTCAAAGGTAGACGTGCATGGAGAAACTTGTGCAAGGTTTAGGGAGGGGGGGCTAAAAGTGTAAATAAGCCTTTCTTGGCACACTTGAGTGTGCTGCGCTTCCTGTAGCGCAAAGGCAGATAAAATCACACAGTTTGGTACAGAGTATATTTATAAAGTTCTGAAGGCGTTTTGTTCGGGTGCTGTGGTCACTCAGCAGGATGTTGTGATCTACTTAGGTTTTGTATGATCTGTGGGGAGCTGCCTCACAACGCTGTGGGGTCTCCACCTTGTGGCTTGGACCCCATCATGCAGTGCCGGGTGGCTGAATGCCATGCAGGCTTGAATGAAAACGTGCACAGACTTGTGTAAACCCACCCACACCCACTGACTAAGAGCAAATATGAAAAAAATAAATAAATGCACCATACTATTTAAGAGTACATTAAAACCTCCTGTTTTAGAATTTGTATGCCTAAAATGTACAGTCAACTATCACTGAAGACCATCTCAAAACATGATGATCATTATTCTGAGGCATCTTCTGATGTTTTTTTCTTTTTAAACTCAACACTGCACCTACACTGAAGCCGGCTTGCCAGAAGTAATATAAGAGGTGCTAATAAAGTTCACTGAGCTGGTGGTTATAGAAAGTACAGCTCGGAAAAAAGGAAAAAAAGAAAAAGAGTTATAAGCCAAAGGGTTACAGGGTCAGAACTGAAACCTGACATCACATCTCAAGTATGTACAGGAAAAGCAAAAGCAAACGCATGTCTGCAAAACCCTGGCAATAGACCAGTAATTTATCGGTGTTATAGTGGACTTAACCTCTGTGTGTCTTCAATAAAAACCAACACTGTGAGATATAAAGATACTCTCACAGCTTCTCATGTCATCCTTGACTAACCGTGGGCCTGGAACCTCTCCAGCAAAATCATGCAGCAGCAGAGGAACGCAATTTAAACTTTAAACTTGGATGGGGACATTTAAGTGAATTTAATGTGCTGAGTTTTTATTGTGTAAAACGCAGTAACACTCTAATAAATCCAAAACACAGAACTCAGCAGCTACCTTTCAAAGCTGACACCTCTAAATAAGATCTGCAACGAGTGACTGTTTTGAAGTAAAAGGGTGTTTGCATTGACTTAAAAGCCTATAGGCGGTTAAGCTATTTTTTGAGCGTGTCATTTCTAGTCTTGCTCTGCTGGTTTTCAGCCTCTTAATGACATGCTTCAGAGCCGCATGAGCCTGACCAAGAAGAAAAAAAAAAAAGAATACGAGAAGAAGAGAAAAAAACCTGTCCAACCCCTTCTGAAGATTTCCTGTTTCATGAAATGCGCACATACTGTGAGTCATATAGGGTAAGTCCTGCCTTGTGTTTACCCAATCTGCTTCTTTTCCTTCGTCTTCCCGGAGCCGTGAAGGCGTTTAAAAGGGAGCAACAGGCGGGCCGAAGAAAGTCCGCGGAGACTGGATATTAACCCGCTGTCAAGGCTTCGGCAAATTAATGAGAAAGAGGGCAGCGCACAGTCTAAATGGAGCTACTTCGGTTTTCCGCTTTTTGGTGTGGAATGATACTCTTTGGTAGTAGTCTGCTCGAGGAGGCGGGTGAGTTGAACTTTAAACTCTCAGAAAAGTAGTCAAAGCTTCGGAACTTATTTCAGCGGACTAAGAAGCGGAGTGATACAAAGTGACAATTGATTTCCCTTATTTATTTATTGGGCAAAAATATGATACTGTAATTGCTTTTTTTTTCCAGACAGGTGTTTCTTTAGCTTTTAGCTAAAACTACGTAAAAAGAAAATACCCAGGTGCGAAGCCTTGTTTATTCAGGACACTTTACTTGCTAATGTGGTCTCAAATGTAAATTAGCTTCACTTGACTCCGTGAGTCTCTCTGTCGCAACTTTCATCAGTGCGAATGCGATAGCTTTGGGAAGACATCACCTGCTGTAAGTCACCAGCCTCCTTTGGTTATCTGCATCTTTGATGTGTAGCCACAGTGCTAACAGGTCTAACGGCCCCCCTTAAGGAAGACAGTGTTTTACCTTCATCTGTCTCAGACTCAGTCCCAGCGGCACCAAGTGGCTTTGGCTGCTCCTAATCCTTCCCCCCACCTCTCTGCAATTATATGTAGCCCTGGGTGACAATTACTACCATTCATCCCTTCCTTTGCCCGCCTCCTCCTGGGTTAAAATGACATGCTCTTTCAGAGGAGTTGCTCTAATGATATAATTACTCAGGCTCAGCCACCTTCCTACAGCACTCAGGCATGGACTATCCCCTCAGTGCTGATTTACTTCAAAACACCTCACCAGCCCGCTGGGCAGACTTTTAAAATTGCTCTGTGGCGTAGTTTAGTCTGGAGTTCAGGTGTGATATTTTCATGTTTGTTTTGTTTTTTTATTTGTGAAGGCCTCTCTCAGTGCAGACAAGCCCTGAAAGCAAAAACAAAACAAAAAAAGCCAACGATTTCCTGATAAGGTCTTGTGAAAGTGCCTCATCTGCTGCTGATTGTCAGGCGCAGCCATCCGGTGGCAGTGATCTAATTTTGCTGCACTTCCAGGGTGCATGTTGTACAGCGTGTCTGTTGCTGACCCCACCCTGCAGCCTGGGTGTTGGGGGAACAGACATAGTAGAATCCTTGTGCCAGGTTAAGAGCACACACACACTGACAGAGAGCACCTTTCTCGTAAGCTTGTGTGTAGCCCAAAGCATACTTTTTTTTTTTTTTTTTGCTGACCATGTCAAGAAGCACGCTTTCACTTACACTTCCCCTTCTAAAACTTATTTACTATTTGGTCATATGATAAACCCTCAGCGGTGCCATTTTGAGACATCGACCAACTTCAGGTACATCAGTGTACCAGAAGCGGTGTTTTCCCTCTTGGTTTGTTCATGAGTTGAATTCTCTGATGAAAACAGCAGGTTCAACTTCCTGTACACGTGAAGTCAGCATACAGATGAACTGTGGTTAGGTGGTTTAACTGAACCAGCAAAGTCACGTGTTTCCACTCTGCGTAACACATGCAATGCATGCATCTCAATCCTGCCAGACATCGTGATTGTTTCTTCTTTTTAATCATTCTCCTTATTAATCCTAGTAAATCTGAAATGTCCCCTTTACAAACTGTTTCCACATCTTAAAGCCACAACATCCTCTTTTCGCTCATAATTTTGTGTAGTAGCCAGAACTCCTTTTAAAAACTAGAGAAGAGATTCTTCACCTTTCTGTCTCTGATTTTATTTTGGTGGGGTTTTTGTCATCACGTCCCTCAATGCAAGGATAAATTACAGAACTGCATCCTAGGACTGTTTGTGGAAATAAAATTCTTTCTCGCTCCTGTTCTTCACAGACTGATGCATAACCTCGTTTTTTTCCCCCTTTCTTTTTCCATCAACAAATCATCAGCGGTGTTGGCACAACACCTTACTTCATGGGGAGCCGACTCATCGGGCTGACAAATTAGAGACCCTCAGCAAGAAAATTCATCCGTGTTTCCTCTGTTTGTTGTTCTTGCCTGTCTGGCATTTGTCTCCTTAGATGATTATCAAACCCACAGGCACTCCTCACACAATCCTGTGTCTCTCACTGATACAGGTCTGAACAAGTCCAAAGGAGGTGGATGCCACTGCTCTGCTTTGTTAAGCTCCCACAGGGGGAGGAAAATGTGTCCATCCCTGTAGTATGAAATTGTTTGGATATTCCTGTGGTTATGTGGAATATCAGCTTCTGCACACTGACAAATTCCAAAATACCTCCGTCCTTTGATTAAATTTCAGGTTTTTCAGGTTTTTAAGGCTGTTGAAATGAAATTCACAACTTAGTCTTACCTCTTTCACTTCCTCTTTTTTTTCCAGAGGCCTCTATAATGAAGATACATAAGCTGTGCAAGTTTTGTGATATACAGCCAACTAACTGCTCGGGTAAAGGGAACTGTAAGGTGGAGTGTGGCATTACATCTATTTGCCCCCAAGAAGAAGACGTGTGTGTCAGTATTTGGTAAGTGTCCACTGAACTTCCTGCCTTGTGATTCTAATGCAATGATTCAGGATGTAAATGAACAATTATCGGGGCGATCGTGGCTCAAGAGTTGGGCGTTCGCCATGTAATCAGAAGGTTGCAGGTTCGAGCCCCGGCTTGGACAGTCTCGGTCGTTGTGTCCTTGGGCAAGACACTTCACCCGTTGCCTACTGGTGGTGGTCAGAGGGCCCGGTGGCGCCAGTGTCCGGCAGCCTCGCCTCTGTCAGTGCGCCCCAGGGTGGCTGTGGCTACAATGTAGCTTGCCATCACCAGTGTGTGAATGGGTGGATGACTGGATATGTAAAGCCCTTTGGGGTTCTTAGGGACTAGTAAAAGCGCTATATATAAATACAGGCCATTTACCATTTTACCATTAAACTATAGCAAAGAGACTCAAGAGCTTTTCTTTGTTTCGTTCTTTACTTTCTGACGTTTATTGTGCCTTTTATATTTATACGCCTCTTCATGCAAACACAAAGCGAAGTTAGGAAATAAGGGGAACAATGGCTACTTATTTATTCATCAAATCAGCCGTCGTTTCCTTCCTGAAGCTCTAAAATCTCCTTCATTGTGTGACCTTTTGCTTTTTTCACTTTCTCCGTCAGCATTTTGCCCAAAAAGCCGGCCCGATTATGACAGCTCGTGATCGCCTAACCACCCGTCAGCATCAAATCTGACTCTGATTGTGAGAAGCAGTAGGAAGCAGATTTGTATTGGTGTTAAAAGCTTAAAGCAGTGCTGCTGTTTCTCATTATACTCGCAGTGTAGTGGGCTTGTTATGAGCTGAGGTTAGCAGAAAGCTAATGGCACGTGGACAGCAGCACCTCTTTAAAATGTCTCTCATAACCGCCCAGGTAGCACTGCTCAGCAGGAATTCCAAATGTAAATATGCTGATTTGTACAGAGCCAAGTTTTTATTTTTTTCTTCTGTTGTTTGTATTTAAGTCTCCATCCTTAGAACTTTGAATTCAATGTTTTAGTCATTTGTGTGTGTGTATATTGTATATTACATAAAAATATTGCCATTTACAGCTACAAGTTTGTCATTGCATTATGTACCTAATTATTAAGGCTGTGCAAAAGTCTTGATCCACCTCTCATTTCTGTATATGTTGCTTCCAAGAAGCCAAACTTTGTTATACTCAAGTGTTCCTGAGTAGTAGTTCTCCAGACTTACAGAGCTTTTCTTTGGACATAAGCTGCTTTTCATTGATCTTCAGTTCAGTGCTTGTGCCTGAACATTTTCAGAGGATTTTATTTTGTGCTTGGGTTGTTGTTTAAGTCATTTAACACTTATCTATAAATCAATCAAGCACAAAAAAGGCGCCTAACAGAAAGGGATGAACCGGTGTTGTGTCTATACATAAGAACTTTTACATGAGTGCAAGGTAAAAAAAATGCAAGGAAATATGAGTTTAAATACCTCAACCATCTAAAGCAATAGACAGTGCACAAGACAAGTGAAGAAGAGAGTGCAGGTTTGATAGAGTAGGTGGAGACATGTATTAGGGATGATTTGTGACACAAGGGTAGCAGCAAGAGTGAAAAGACTGGTTTATATATGAGACCTGGCATATGTATGGTTTATAGATGGTGGCACTGACTAAAAGACAGGAGGCCAAGCTGATGATGTTAAGACTTTCCATGGGTGTGACCACGACGGATAAAATTAGAATTGAGTACATTAGAGGACAGCTCGGGTCGAGTGGTTTCAAAGGCAAGGTTTAGATTGTTTCGACGTGTGCAGAGAACAGAGAGCGGGTATATTGAGGAAAAAGGTCTTCAATGTGGATCTGCCAGGCAGGAGGAAAACAGGAAGACTGTAGATAAGATTTATGTAGTAAAGGAGGACTTGCAGAGGGTTGGGGTAGCAGAAGAAGATAGGTTGAGATGGAGGCTGATGATCCACTGTAGCAACCCTGAAAGGGAGCAGAGAGCAAGGAGAAAGTACTTTGTAGTACTAGCAGTCGACAAACATACAATTTGTTTTCTTTCCTTTAACCAAATGTAAGAAAAACACCAAACATAACACAGTTTGACAGGAATAAAATAATATTTTTGCACCATCAAGTGATTTCTAAAAAGAGATGTCAGCTGAAAGCTTGACCAATCGCAGCATGTTGAGCAGTGTGTCTGTAAAAATAAAAAAATTGAGGAAACTGAGCACATGGTGGATAAAATTAGAAGTGACAGGCCAAAAGCTAGATTTAGATGAACAGTATCTAAAAGTTACGTTCTTAAGAGATAGGAAAAGATCCTGTAATGACCTGCTGTGCAACTGGAAAGATGTGGGCATCATCAGAGGCAAAGAAATGGTCTCAGTGGAAGGACCGCTGCAAAGAAGCCTTTCGTGTCTTCTGGAGAGATAAATCAAAATTTGACATTTTTGTTTGAAATTGTTGTCAATATGTAAGGAGAAGGTCAGGAGAGAGGTACAACAGTGAGTGTCTAAAGCCATCTGTAAAACAGTGGAGGTGCCATCATGGTGTGGGGCTGTGTTTCAGCTAGTGAGTAGAAGATCTTGTCTAATTTGATGCAGTAAAAACATACCGACAGAAAAACGCACAATGGAACACTATCAGTCATGGATTGGCCTCCACATTTCAATAAATCGCTGAAGCTGTTTAGCATTTTCCTAGCAAAATACAAAGAAATCAGGGGTGACTTGAGACTTTCGCACAATAGCGTAGGCCTGCCATCATCTCTTTGTTACAAATCTTTGAAAAGCAGGTAGTGAATACCCGAACTCAAACTTGACTAGTAAAAAGTGTTTATCCGTCTTCTCTTTCTCAGGAGGAAGAAAGATGGCAACGTCACCTTTGATACAGTGTGCCACAACCCAGCTGAAAAACTGTACGGCTTAGTCTTAAAGGACTACAACAACAGCGAGTGTGAAATGAAAGAGCTGAGTGGCATGGGCTCAAAGTTCTTCATCTGTTCGTGCTCTGAGGATGAATGCAATGAGCGCGTCTTTTTTGACCCAAGTAAGTTAAATTGGCAATTTTTCAAAATGTATGAAATAAATGTGGTAGAAGACAGTTCACTATTAATATTTAACTTGTTTTTGCTATATTTGAATCTTTTATTGTTAAATGCTAAACTATGCGCAACAAATAGCTGCAAATTTGTCAGTCTAGCAACACTGGTACATAAGCCCATGCAGTAGATTTTTAGAGCCTTTTGAATATAGCTGAGCACTCTGAATGGAAATTGGTTTGATAAGAGTGAAATTAAGCCAAAATGGTCAAATTGCAAGCTGTAAAACCCAAACAATTAACTAAAGCAGGCTAAAGCCTCTTCAGAGCTGCAGCTGGAAACAGGGACATTATATGTCTAAGTAATTGGTGTCATAACTACATTTCGGTGGGTGTCTGAACTTTGATTTCGAATAAACACGGAGGCTCTCTGATGCCCCTTTTATTCGTCAGAAGTGAGGAAAAATGCTCTGAACTTAATTCTGCACCACAGTTAATTTTTACTCTAACTAGGTGATAATGTGCACTGAGTCACGTTTTTCACCAAGAAAGCAAAAATCAAAGGATCGATAGCAAGAAAGGTGAGGGTCAAATAAGCAAACCGAGGGAAGACAGCTGTTACAAAAAATTATTTTAAAAAGAAAGGAGAGTAGAGCACAACTAACCAGTTGAGAAAAGTTTAGCTCTCAGCAGCTGTTAAGTGACAATATAGCTACCAAAAAGACCTAGCACAGCTTAACACCATGAAACCCACGGCCTTGAATTACAGAAAGAGCCAGAGCGATTGAGCAGCAGCAGGTTCATTTTCAAATGATGCGACACAAGGGGAAAAAAACAAACTTATTTTGCTAGTTATAATGAAACAGTGTCAGGCAGCACATCGACAAACAGTGTAAACATTATTATGTCATGCATGGTGTTTGCTCCTTAGAGTAGTGGTTTACGCATTAGTTTTGCAAGCCAAATGTCTCTGTTTAAATTCCAGCCAATAAAACATCCCTTGTGGGATTGCATTAGGAATCCACTGCAAACACTCTGCCAAATTAAACAGCGACCCACTGTGACAAGGGAGCAGCCGAGAGTAACCACATGACATCTCTGTTTGTCTTTGATAACATCAAAGGAACAAGACAAGAAAATCACTATGACTCATATTATTGTAATATAGTGTTATTATAGTGTAATTATAGTGTTGGTTTTGTAAACACAAATAAGCTTCAAGTTATTTTGGTGTGCCCTGATGACCTGGTTTGACGCCTGATGTGCCCTTAGCACCGCACAGGCTGAAAACGGTGTTTGGCTGTGAGCAGGTTTAGAGGCTCATATCAATCCTGCACGCATCATTCTTCTAGAAGTCTGTGTGGCAGATAGTGAGGAAGAAGATGTGATAGAGGAAGTGAAGAGAGCAGGGGGGGAGGATGAAGAGAGATTTCTTATAATTACACAGGATGTTAAGAAAACATTTTCTTTGGGGTGGGGTGGAAAAAACATGTTCGTAATACAACGGTCTTTATTAAGCAGCATAGTAGTCTCGGCATTTTCTTAATGTAAGTGTTAGAAGACTATAGGGTTGGTATTTCAAATGTCTTTATGACATTAGAATCATGAACATTCAATTCTAGATGTTCAAGTTATTGTAGACGACAGCACGCTAAGAAGTGTGTGTCCATTTTAACATGTGCAGCGTTATGGACGTAAGTGGTACTCTAAGGACCCCTACAGGTTCTTGTAAAGTTGTTGGCTCAATTATCTATTTAAAAAAACACACACACACAATGATGGATGAGCGATATGAGAAAGGAAGGGTTCCTGCAGAGAGTGCTTTTGAGTGGGGCTCAGAGTTCTGTGTTACACCCCTGCCTGGAAATAGTTTTCAGAGTTCATCACTGGGAGAGTCATACCTTACATATTGCACACCAGTTATTTGATATGATTTTGAAGTTTTACTCCCTCTATCTTTCATTTCTTTTTAAAGTGGAGGAAGATTCATTTAACATCTTAGAAGTGGAAGTATTTATTCTTTCATTTGTGAGGATAACATGATAACGTCAGAATTTTTTATCAGTTTGTCGTGCATGAGTGCCAACATGTGTGCACTGGGATGCTCTCCAGATGCATAATTGCAAACAGCTTTAGGAGATCATGTAGACACTGGCTTCTAGACTCCAGTTACAACATTGGCCCTGGAATAAGATGTATTTTGACTACGGTGTCCCGGCAGTAATAACACTAAGGTACATTTCCGAGACCTGGCTCTGCACCGAAAGCCAAATTGAAAGCATCTGCGCGGAGCAAAGCACGTCATGGAAACATATTTTCTCACTGTTGGGAATGTCTGTGTGCTCTCTGGAAGTTCTCAGTGACTAAAGTGGATAAGTTCTGTAGTAAAGGCACTGCAGATGAGCTTGAACAACAGGGCAATAATGCCAATTTGAACCAGTTGAACCTGTTGAACAAAGCACCATTTAACGATTCAGCTTTTGCTTGCAGTTTTCCCTCTCTTCATACTGGTATACAGCTGCCTTGAGAAGCAAGCTAATGGTATTTCCCACCCTATTATCAGAAACACATTAACAAAGCCTACTGGGAACAGCAATGTTACGAAATGAGACCTAGCTTGAGTGAAAACAAGGTACGTCAGTTGTTATATTGAATGTGAGCGGGTGGTTTGTCAGAGTAACACCCATGTGAATGCCAGAATCGAACAAGACGTAACAAGATGATCAATGTTATTCACTTCACCTGTCAGTGGGTTTAATGCTGTGACTGAATGGTGTGTAAACAAATAAACAAGTACAACTTTAAAGCTTTATTTAAGATGGTAGGTACCACTGTTTTCGATGGTTTCCAGTCGTTATGTTATGCTAAGCTAAGCATATCTGAAGCATCATATTTAACAGGCAGGTATGTGAGTAGTATGGATCTACTTCCCACCAGCAAGAGTATTTCTTAAAGCCTTTTTCCCTCTAAAGATTCTACCCTTGTGTATGCAGTATTTCACACTTTGAACTTAAAGATAATTCTCAATAAGACGGTTTTTCACAGCATCTCCAGACCTTAAATGTAACATTACTTCTACACTTTCAATAATTCACACAACAAGTAAGGATTTTGTCTAAAGCCCGGAGGAGTTTGGAGGCACAGTGACAGGTTTGTTGTGAGAAATAGCTTCTCACTCCACAAAAATCAAAACAAACAGTCTGTCTGAGGCCCTGTAGAGGATTTCAGACATGTGGTTTCCTGTTCAGAAAAAAAAAAAAATTAGAGAGAAGTCGAGGGCTCAACTCGGCTGTCGGTTAGATGCCTGACTCTGCTCCGCGCATTTACACTTGCTCCTAAAATTGTTTGCCAGGTATTTCTTGAAAAATAATGCACACGTGATACTCTTGCCTACACGTGTTATGCAACTCAAATGTAAGCTAGACAGCTAAATAAAGTGTGGCATTTGCTTTAGCAACACAACTTATAAATGACTAAATTTAGAGCGCTTCATACTGGGGACCATTTGAGGTTTTCTTGTTTAGTGTTTTATGTCTGGTGATCTACTTTTTATAGATCTTCTTCTATTGCTGCAGCTTTAAAAACTGGACTATAAACACAGCACAAGCATAAAGTCTCACTGTTTGCCAAAACCAAAGCAGCTACCAGACACACCACCTCCCAAATTATAAGAATCAGACATGAGATCGTGCTTGACTGGGTCAGGGTTTGGAGCAGTTTACATTTGTGGCTGAGAATCTAACTTTAGCTCTGATCCTGATAAACATTCCTCAAAGAAGCGTCGGGTTTCTCTTGTCTTCTGATTACTTTACTTGTAGCTAAGTGCTGATACAATCTGCCACAAAGTAATTTAGTGTTTTATGTCTTCATATTGTGGGTGTTGTAGTTTAAAAAAGAAAAAAAAGAAACGCAGTTACTACTCTCACAGATTTAAAGTGACTTTTAAACTGGTTGTCTGTTCTGCATCTTAACCTCACACTATCTTCATTAACACGTGCTGATTCTTTGACCTTTAGGGCCCACGGAACCACAGGTGATGGCTGTTATCTTAGTAAGCCTGGTGCCTCTCCTGGTTATGGCTACCGTGGTCATCACTTTCTTCTACTTTTACCGTGTGTGCTGCCAGCGCAGTGGCCACTGCGGACACAAGAAAGATTCTCTGCTGGAAATCGACCCACTCGTCATTATAGAAGAAGACAGCAGCTCCACGCACGCCAACAGCCTCAATCACAACACTGAGCTGCTGCCCATCGAGCTGGACGTGCAGGTTGGAAAAGGGCGCTTTGCAGAAGTTTACAAAGCCAAGCTGAAGCAGGGCTCCTCTGTTAGCGTGGAGCAGGGCTTTGAGACTGTAGCAATTAAAATTTTCTCACACGAGGAGTATCCATCCTGGAAGAACGAGAAGGACATTTTCTCAGATGCGGATTTGAGGCACGAGAATGTGCTTCACTTCCTGACAGCAGAGGAGAGGAAGGAGCCGAGACAGTACTGGCTGATCACAGCTTATCATCCACGAGGGAATCTCCAGGAGTACCTGACTCATAATATTATCAGCTTGCATGACCTGTGGCTGCTCGGAGGTTCGCTATCCCGTGGAGTGGCACACCTTCACAGCGACCGCACCCCCTGCGGTCGCTCCAAGGTGCCTATCGCGCACAGGGACATTAAGAGCTCCAACATACTGGTGAAAAATGACTTGACCTGCTGCCTGTGTGATTTTGGCCTTGCGCTTCGGCTGGACAACTCTCTGTCTGTGGATGAGCTGGCCAACAGTGGGCAGGTAAGGCTTACCTAAGACTAAATTTTGGGCGATCGATTGTTTTCACTTGGCTGTCAATCACTTCAGACATCATCAACTTTGCCAGTGCCCCAAACACAAACCACTCTAAGCCCTGTCGTATAATTCTTCTGGGATATTTGTCAGACTTTGAAAAGAGCCAAGCTATATATCAAACCTTTCATTTTCTTACCCTCACAACTTCAGGACATTGTGTGTATATATGGCACTCACTCCATCTTGTCCCCAGAAGGATAATACTGATAGAAATACTGCTGTAAGTGCTCTTGGGTTGTTGTTGTTTTATCATAGTCACAAGACAAACAGGCTTGATTGATTCTTAATGGACTCATTACAAAGACGTAATAGGCCAGAGACAATTTACACTCTGTTATGAAAATGGCTTGTTATGAAAAGGGCTCACCCTTTGCCACACAGCACACCTAATGCATTGTGATGCCCCTAATGCATTAGGAGGAAGCTCCAGTGGACACATTTTCAAGGATGATAATTATGTGAAGACAAGCAAGGTTTTGATGAGCTCAGTCGTGCCCTTTTTTTCTAATTATTTTCTACATCAACTTTTTTTCTCATGTAGATAAATGTGATATAATCTCTTAGAGCACACAGGACAAAATCACTACCTGTCACTCGATTAATGCAGCTACTGTTTAACGAGCCGTTTTCAACAAAACGATTGCTGTTTTAGCAGATAAAAAAAGTGGTTCGCCACCTTCCCTTAGATGTACCTCTATATTTAAATCGTGCATAACAATATTGTGCATTTGCAACTACGGTCAAAGACGATAATTAATCTGTGTCGCTCTCTATTTGTATTTCCACAGGTGGGCACTGCCAGGTACATGGCCCCCGAGGTGTTGGAGTCCAGAATCAACCTAGAAAACATTGAGTCTTTCAAACAAGCCGATGTTTATTCCATGGCTCTCGTACTGTGGGAGATCATCTCAAGGTGTAGTGCAGTCGGAGGTGAGATCATGAAGTCCTATGCTCTATGTTAATCAGTTAACACGCTGTGCTGTAGAACGATCGCTTCAGTTAAAATTCCCAAAAAAATGCCAATGTTGTTTATTGTTTGTTGCTGAGGGAGGGAAACGAAAAGCAAAAAGGGGGTGTGCAGGGAGACGGAACACAGCACAAAAGAAGCGATAGCAACATGCCACAATGATCCATAAACACGTGGGGAGTGGAGAGGACGTGCAGTGTGCATAATGTGAACCCCCCCCCAGCAGCCTGAGCCTATGGCACCTTAACTGAGGGACGGTTCAAGGTCATTTGATATAGCTCCAACTAGAAGCTGGCTCCACAGGAAAGGGGCCTGAAAGCTGAAGGCTCTCCCTCCCGTTCTACTTTTAAACTTCCTAAGAACTCACGTAGGCCGGCAGTCTGAGTGAAGTCCTCTATTAGGATAATATGATGGTATGAGATCTTTAAGATGTAACAGGGACTGATTATTGAAGTATGTGAGGAGAAGGATTTTAAATTTAATTCTGGATTAAACAGAGAGCCAATGAAGACAGGCTAATATGAAAGAAATATGGTCTACTCTTGCTGCATCAGGGAGCTTTTAGATCAGCCTGATAATGATGAATTACCATAGTCCAGCCTAGAAGTTAAAAATGCATGAACTGTTTTTTATTTTTTTACCATTACTCTGAGACAGGATGTTTGTAGTTTTAGTGATATTGCACAGATGAAAGAAAGCAACAGTACATATTTGTTTACTGTGCACGCTGAAGGACATATCCTGGTCAAAAAGGACTCTTCCAGTAATCCAGTAGCACATGATGGCTCCTTGTCCTGCTTTTTTTTTTTTTGAAAGGAGAGATGACTTTTTCCCCACCGTCAATAAAATGAAGTCTGAACACGAGTTATGAAAAGCCTCCACTGGCTTTATCCAAATGTTTTGAATAGATTAAACAACCTTACATAAACTGATGATTTAGGCGTAAAATTAATTATTGATGATATAGAACATCAGTGAATGATTATGTAAATAGAGTTTAGCTTTAATGTGTGTTTGGGGAGGAATACTTAAGATGTCGGTGAGAAAAAAGCATTGGTTTCTTGCCAGAGTCGGTTTAACCTTATCACACAGGAAATGCAGAAGAAAGAGTCTATGCTATGCATCTAGTTCCTGAAACACAGGCTACTTAAGAATAGTTCAACTTTTAGAGGAAAAAAAAAACTTTTTCACTCTTGTTCATGTACTAAATGTGAGCGTACTATTTGACACTTTACATCTCACTTGTTATTTTCTGTCACGTTTTCTCAGTACTTGTTTTAAACCCAATATTCTGTCTTCCTGACTATCAACGTAGTGTACTCTACACACGTTTAACACTCCCTCTAACCTTTGCGGAGATAACCATCAATTTCGTTGGTAAATTAGCTCGGGTCACTGCAAGTATAGGAAACCAATAGAAGCACTGATTGATGAAATTCCCTTTAGAGGCTGTGTAAATATCCTCAGAAATACTGTAAAAGCTTGTTTGACCTCTGAGCAATACAAGCACCAAGTGACCAACTCCACTGTGAGTTCACTTATTAGCTGTGTGACAGGACTTATGTGTGAGCATTCGTTGACCCATTAGTCATGGTGGGAAGAAAATCTAAAAGTGTCAAAGCCACAATCCATCTTGTAGAAGCCTCAAGGATCAGCCTTCACTTTACTAATGTACCGTTACTCGTGTTTGTCACTCTGCAGCAAAACAAGGTCGAGGTATGTGCAAATAATAGAAGTGGTTGATTATCTGAAGCCAGTACAGTGCAGTATTTCATGTCGACAGAAGGTTATTTGTTTTTGCTTCCTTTTGTGTCTCTGTGGTCCTGTTTGTTTCTGAGGCTGCTCCTGTCTCCATTGTGTCACAGCAGTGATTGAATGCCGGGTTTGGGCATGAACACTTCTGCTTCTGAGTTTTCCTGTTTTGCCCCCACTAACCTCCCTCCCCTCCCTCCCCAGGGGGCTTCCTTGAAGTGTATCGTGCAGTTATTCTGCCCATGAGTCCTCTGAAGCAAAAACATGAGCAAGTGACCCACAATTCCTCTTGCTTTTCCTTCCAAACTGCAACAACATGGGTGCCCTGTGGGTACACATTTGAAAAGAAAACAGAGTATTTCCTGCTTTGCAAAGAGCACAGTCCCAAGACGCAGGGTTTTTTTTTTAGAGAGATTTTAACTTTGCAAGTGTGGTTTATATTAGGACATTTAGTGGTTAATGTCTCTTGAGATCAGGACAGGCAGTATATAGAGATGAGTAAAGATGCACTAAACAGATCCAGGTTCACTCTGGCTTCATTTGGTTTCCTCTTGAGGGATTTCAGGAAATCTGCGCGAACAACATCTTCATTTGTTTATCCTGCATTTCCCTCCATCGTTACATGCATGTCAGATTAAGTCCTTCATTCCCTTACTTTGCATTAGTTTAGGTTTAGCTAACCTAAACACTGTATACAGAATTAAACGTTATGCCAAAACACATTTTTGTCCTGCCCAGATACACTCGACCATTCCCTGTTTCTAAATCTGGCACTTTCAACTCAGTTACGCTACATTTTTCCTCCCGTCTCTCTCAGTCTCTTTCTTCTGAGACACAGGTAGGTGAGGCAGCAGTTAATTAGTCTCCCACTGCAGTGCAACACACCATAGGCAGCCGTGAAGCTTTACTCATGCAGGCACAGACAAGACAGGACAGGCCAGTGTAAATTTACTAGGGAAAGGAAGCGCAAGGTTCCCGTCCCACCTCTAGACTAAAGATAGAAGCCACTCGGGTAGTTCACATTTTCCTGTGTTTCACATATCTCTGTCCCCATTTTTCAGACTTGGCATTTCTTGGAGAAGTGTAAAAGGGTGAGGTCTGTAGTTCATCAGGGCTGAAACTGAAGGAGACGTTTTCCTGTTCAGAGATTAAATCACTGTACAAACAAAGCTAAGCTCTCACCTTGATAAACAATGAGAAAGGTGGAAAGAATAAGCTGCACAAATGAGATGGTGTAATTTGGTTTTCCCTTACTGGCAGCTAAAAATCTCCTTGCAGATAGTGTGCTGGCTGAGATCTGGTATTGATTCTGGAGCAGAGCAGCATGAGAGCAAAGCTGATGTGTTTACAAAGTACACTCAAGAGTTGCTTGCTTTCCTGCTGCTGTTTTTTTACTATGAAGTTGCCACGTTTTCCCTGGAGGTCGGTGAGTCACTTATGACTCCCTGAGATCTTACCTTCCTGAGACAAAATATGAGCAGATGTGAACCCACACTCATAAATTCAGAGTGACACATCCCAGGGCATCAGTATAATGACTAGGGTGATGTCCTGCTTTTTTTCTCTTGTCTCTGATGCCACCTGCCTGTGTGAATGTAAGGAAGATGTCTGATCACTGCAGGCAGGCACAGGGCTGCTCTGTCACGGCTCCTGAGGCCGTGGTCTGATCTGAGATCTGCCAGACGAGAGGAAAAAAACTGTCTGTCGACAGCCAGCCGGCCAGGCACAAACCATCACTTTACCTTCTTTATCTTCCAAGACTGAGGGAAGGGTTAGAGCAAGGGGGGAAACAGAGAGATCAGCACACCTCCAAGAGAAGGAAAAGTCAGATTCCAGGCTCAGATCTTTTTATCTGAGTGTCTGTTCCTTAAAATGCCTCTGCTGTATAATTTAGCTGGTCCAGATTTAGGTCTTGGAAAGATTGTGAGGGCGTTCCTCGAGCGGGTGGGGCAAAGTAGGAGGATAATAGCGGAGTGGTGTCGAATGTGGAGCTGCAGACGAAAAAAAATGCCTCCATTCCCTGAGGGGAGAGGTTGAGCTTGACTGGAGAGGAGGAAAGGTTAGGGCAGCTGCTCTCCAGATGTCAGACCATCAAACCCTTCAGAACTGGAGGGTCTAATGCGTGTGGTGGGGGGGCTGCCACAACGCGCATTTAGGAACAAATTTTAGACTTGATTGAGGATGAAATAGGGTCAAAATACGTGCAGCCAATTTACGTTCCCTGAAGCTGCATACAAAGCGGGCTAAAATATTTTTTTGGTTTTACTTAATGGGGTTAGTCGATGGTTAGGGAATGTATCAGCTGCAGTTAATGGTAGGGTAAGCTTCCAGGGCAAGTCGGTGCCATATGCCCTAAAATTAAGCTCTGCTAATGAGTAATGTTCATGCATACATCTGTAATGCTTGAGTTTAACAACAGAAAACAAGTGTTGGAGCCACCGCAAACTAATGAAAACCAGCAGCGGCTGGGAGTAGATTAGTCAAGCTGTTGTTCCAGACTCAGACAGACTTGGGGAAGCTGACACAGTTGTTGCGATCACATTACTAATTTATTTCCAAATACATGGGGAAACTGTTTGGATCGCTTTTGCTGTATTATTTATGTGTTTAGGTGACAGGATTTCTCTTCTTATTTTCAGTGTTTATATTTTATTTAAGCTATAATTAGACAAAAAATTGTTCACTTGGAAGGGCAGCAGAGAAAGACTATCAAACAAAATGTGAAATGCTTGTGCTGACTGATTTCTAAGCAGACCTGTGTGAGGTTAGTATTTCAGTATGCCAACTAAGACTGGTGAGTTTGGGATGTGCGTAGGGGAGCAGGTGGTCAATCTACGAGAACAAAAGTGCAGTGTGACGGATGTAAATTACAAAGCTTCAAAACGATGCCATTCATCAAGAGTTTTTCCTTGTTTGCAGTAGGAAAGAAAAATGACTACATTTCTCTTGGCTGCATATGCACATACACTTTCGACTGCCATGGCGGACAAGTGGGCTGGAAAATAGACATTAAGGAGGAAATATGTGCTAGCATTGCAAAATCCACATCACTACATGTCAGCTGTCGGACATATAGTGTAAGTTCCTCATTGTTACTGTGCTGAAGTTGTTAAATAGCTTTGGAGGAAATCTTGTCAGTGTGCAATGTGTGACTTTTGCAAACCCCAGCAGTCCTCACTCGCACTGTATTGTGCTTTCAGAAGCCTCTTCTGCCACTGCAGTTTAATTTAAAGTTTACCTTTAATAAACATCTTTGCCTTTAGAGCCAGATTGGGCAAATCTGTTTGTCCTGGAATACACACTTTGTTTATGAAGTAGTACAAGTCCTATACTCGAGAAGCATTGTTTGGAGATGAGAACACGAGCATGTTTGCTGACACTTTCCAAAGTGGGTTTGCTGTCTAGAACACAGTTATACACTCCCTGGACCTGTCACAACAAAACAAACAACATCTGTCTCCTTTTCTCTTAAAAATGGTTGACTGGGTTTGTGTTTAAGCTTGAATAACAAACCAGAAGTACTTTGCTTGCAGTAATGTTGAGTTCCAGACTGTAAAGAACTTTTTTTTTTTTTTGCAGTAGTCTGTGTCCCAGAATCCTCCAATTCCTCTCTGTAGGTTGCATAACTCCCTGCGATCTTTTCTTTTTAACGTGTTTAAAAAGAAATAAAACGTCATCACGATCATCAAACAGTACAAACAACATGCTTATGTGAGGATTATGTGTTCCAGTAGTTTATTTTAAAAAGCTACAAACAGCTTTTATATATTTCTTACCTTTTTTTCATAATAATTTACATACAAAATATTGTTTTATTCTCAGTCTCAGCAACAACATGTTGGCCTTATGACTGAAGAGGCAACCTCAGAACCCGCCGACAGCTGACACAGCTTTGTTCTGCACTGTTACGTAAACTCTGAGATTTACATGAGAAGATGCAGGACAAATCTGCATTGTGCTCTTTTTTTTTTTTTTTTTTTTATATTCAGTACATTTGAAATCTGTGTTTCCAGTGACAGATTTAATAGCCAGCAGTTAATTACAGGGATTGTTTTCTATTTTATTATTAGAAAATATGTATGTGTGTATAAATATCTATATTTTTATACCACAATATGCCTCTGCTACAATGAAGTATAAATTAAAGTGGTTCTGCTAGATTCTTACTGGCCTGTAAAAGCCATTGTTCTGTATTTCAGCTGTGTGACATTAAACAGCAGCTGCAGTATCACTGACAGAAATATAGCCACAGTATATTTGGGTCCATAAGGGAACCGTGACGCGCATTTGTCATTTTGCCTCTGCATGCCACCCCCACAGTGGTTTTTACATCAAACTGTGCAGACCTTTAGCTTTAATGCAAGGGGTCTAACAAAAATATTGCATTGACTGGAGCCGTTGTAGTCAATGACTGACTGACGTCTAGAGAACACGGATATCACCAAATGCTCTGTTTCCTCCCTTGAGATGCTCTGCTACATCTTTACTGCAGCCGCTTCCAGTTACTGCTTGTTTGTGGGTCTTTCTGCATTAGGTCTGGTCTTCAGTAACTGAAAAGCATGCTCCATTGGGTTGAGATCAGGTGACTGACTTGACCCTTGAGGAATATCCTGTTTCTTTCCTTGAGAAATTCTTTGGGTTACTGTTGCAGTGTGCTTTGGATCATTATCCATCTAAACTCAAATTGCTCTCTGCTTAGTTTTGCAACATTTTTCTGAGTCTAAGCAGAGAGTGCAGCCCTATACGCTTCATTCTGCTGCTTCTATCAGCAGTCACATCATGAATAAACACTCGTCAGACAGTTTCACGGGCAGCCATACTTGCCCATGTTATCGCTGCTGGTCATCAGTTTTTTGTTCCTGTTCAAAATTATTCTTTTGAAACTTCCTGAGTATTTACAAGAATTTACCACTGTTGTTTAATAGTACATTGTAACTTTCACACAGCCAGGATGCATTGTAAAATGTGTTCGTTGTTTTTAACGACGACTCTGTCTTTGTAGGTGAGAAAAGTAGAAACTGTTTTAATTCTGACAACTATTTGCCACGTATGCCAGGGATCACAGTCAGAGACTCCACAGTGACTTTGTTATATAGTTTATTAATATGCATCTCTTTTTCACTTTATTCTCTCAGTCTGATTTTGTATCCATTATAAAATCTGTTAATTTTGCTAGTCCATCTTTTAATGACTGATAATTAGCTTGAGCTAGGTTTTAACTTCAGTGTAATTCAGTGTTGCGGCTGAGGAATCCAAACTTCAAACAAAGAGGAATTGGAATTCATACGATATATTTTTTTCGGAAACTGTTGACTCATAGCTCTCAGGCTGTTTCCTGCAGACCTGCTTTGAAATTTTGCCCTAAGTAAACACAACTGGTAAGTGGCCTTTGACAAGCACTCTGGAATTGTTGTGTAAGAGAGCTGACACAAAGCCAGAGCATTGTTGCTGAGGTTTCTTTAAACTCATCGACAGTAAGGCTAAAAATGTGACGATAGTGTTTCTCTTCAGAAAATCTCGCCCATGGCCCCTCTATCAACAGCTTAGGGTTCTTCAGTTGTTTGTGCCGCTTCAGTGCTATTTAAAGTTTGCATCCTACAGTTTCAATTTAGAGCGCACAGTGAATCCTTTGAGAGGTGTTATTGATGTGTGTGCTGTGGGGCACCTCCATCTGATCTTTCTCTCTATTCCACAGAACTTCATCTGTCAGATGTGATCTGTTTCAAAGTTGTTTTGCCCTGCTCTCGGCAGGTGTAAAAGCCTAAACTTACCAGCTTGAGCTGTGCACAGGTATAATTCTCTGAACCCACCTGTTGTTTCTGTGTGTTCACATGCAGACGTGAAAGCATACGAGCCACCGTTTGGAAACCTGAGAGAACACCCGTGTGTAGAGAGCATGAAGGACAGCGTCCTCAGGGACAGAGGAAGACCTGAGATCCCCAACAGCTGGACCAACCACTCTGTAAGAAATGAAATTTATAAATGCCTCATTTGTAACCACAAAATCTGTGTTTTAACAGATTTGTCAGCTGATATTAAAAACAAAGCACAGAAAACCTAAAATATAAAAAAATAACATTGATTATTTGGGATTAATCACTACGGGCCAAACACAGAAATGAGAATGGAACACTTACTTTAAACAGTCTTCAGTATTCCAGATCCTTCACACTGCTGTGAGAACAGTGCAGGTAATGGTGTGATGTATTCACTGTGTCCATTCTCTGCTCACCCTCACCTAATTCCAATAGTGAGAACATTACTGACGCAGGCTGTCCCTTGCAATATCCACACTGTGTTTAAACTAGGGTTTGCAAAGTTTACATGGTTAAAAGTCTGTATATGCAAACTATGGCCTACTCATGAATGTGGCCCCTTTCACATTTTAAATTTTTATTATTTTAAAATGTTAATATAGTTTCTTTTCCTACGAAGAAAACTTAAAGTGGCCATGTTAACGAATAAATCATAGTAGGGGATCAATAAATTCTCTAAGATGCAAAAAAAAAAATAAATAAATAAACTTTATTTTCCACATTGGCAGCCAAGTTTTAAATCAGAAGTGTTTATAGTTGTTCCAAACAAAGGGAAACTGTCATAAAGAACGAGACAGTGTTGTTTAGATTTGGAGATGACTGCACACATTTTCAGTGTGTCTCCTGGAGGACATTCATGCTGCTGTACTCAGCAGTTCGCTATGTAGAAAATAAAAGTAGAATGCAAGAGGCTTTAAAACCGTCTCCCTTCTGCACAGCTTATTTATTTATGCTTTACTATGTATGTCACAATGAAAAGATTCATCCATTCAAGCTGCCACAGCGCATTGTCACACACTGTCTCTCGCTTTGTTTTGCTCTTCTTTAAATAGGATTGTTGTGATATCTACAACATTAAAATGAGCTCTGTGTCTAGCTACTGGTGGCACCTAGTGTCTCCATATTTTAAAGTGAAGCTGTACACAAGGTGAAGCAGCTGCAGCATTTATGTTCAAAGAATTGCATATTATTCTCCTTGCAAAATCGTCCTTCAGAAAGAATAACTCTCAATGCTAGTTTCTCCAATAGAAATGCATCAAAAGTCCTTTATAAAAGTACTGATACAGAGGTGCATATGGATAAACACACAGCTGAAAATGCATAAATGCACATTCATAGCTTCAGTTTGAGTTAAGTTGCATTGCCCCAAAGTCGATCATATTGACTAACTGTGAGCCTGTTCTCCTCATGCAGGGCATCCAGATGTTGTGTGCCTCCATTGAGGACTGCTGGGACCACGACCCGGAGGCCCGTCTCACCGCCCATTGTGTTGCTGAGCGCTTCAATGGCATGGAGTACCTGGACAAGCTGTCAGATTGCTCTGACTCAGAGGAGAAAATCCCTGAAGAAATCTTTGTAGTGGATGAAAAGTAAACGCTTAACAGAAACACTGCCCCCTGCAGGGTGACTGAGACATTTTTATCGAGCTGCTGAAGGGAAAAGGAATATGAGTGGAGGCATTTGAAATGTAGATGAAAGTGAACTGTTTCCAGAGGTGGACTTACATATTCTGGATTAAGTCCTAAACAAAAAGGGCGCTCACATTATAAAGCTTTTTTTTTTTTTTTTTGCTTTTTTTTTTTTTTTACCAAATACTATTTGCACTTTATAAACATCTATGCACACCAAACTATATATATGTTGTGTCTTATTTGTTTTTAAAATTTCAGGTATAGGAAATAAACAGACTGCAAATGTATTAAAAATGGGGCAAGACTGACCAAATATTAAGACACTAAGATCTCCTGCACCTGCCTTGTTTTTCGAAATGGGCAGGTGGTCTTGGATCAAAGTCCAATGAACTGAATGAAGCAACATTCAGGGTGCTAATAGAACCTCTGGCAAGAAGTGGAAATTATTCACGGCAAAGAAGTAGAGTGGAAAACATCCAAAGAACTAATCTGCAGGGATAGCTGATTTCATATCTCAAGGACTATGAAATGTAAAATAAAGACGGCAAAATCATTCTGAAAGGAGAAAGGAAACTGAGATATACAGAGGTAGGTGTGTGTTTGAGAGAGGGGGGCATTTTACTCAGAGGACTCTAAACTGAAAAAGGAAGTCTGTTTAATAAGACAAAGGGAATAAAAGGAATGCAGAGATGTATTAAGGACTCCAAACTGGAACATCCAGTCACTGTCTATATGTTATAAAAGCTGAATTTTTTTATTTTTTATTTTTTATTTTTAATACTGAGAAGGGAATTCTGATCTGCTCAGAAATTATCTGTATCAAAGGAATTTTTGTATAGAAATCATTATTAAAAACGTTACTATGCTCTCTGTTTGCTGTGCTTTTTTTGTGCTCTCGGCTGCTGTCATACTTTGTTTAACTTTGGGGTTTTTTATTTGAGATACTTCATTTTACAATCAAAAACTATTAATGATACTTTTCTAGCCTTAAATGAAGGAAACACACACTGGAAAATATGCTAGGTACACGTGTTTGACTGTACAACTGTATATAAACACAAATATCTTATCACACAAACACAAATGGCACCAAATGAATGCATTTAGGCATGTAGAGATGATCAAGATGACCTGCTGAAGTTTAAACGAAGCATCAGAAATAGGAAGAAAGAGCATTAAAGTGACTCTAAATGTGGCGTGGTTGTTGGTTTTAGAGGGGCTGATCTGAGTATTTTAGAAACTGCTGATCTGCTGGGATTTTCTCACACAACCATCTCTGGGGTTTACAGGAAAAAGTCTGAAAAACAAAATATCTAGTGAGCAGCAGTTTTCTGAGTGAAAATGCCTTGTTTATGCCACAGGTCAGAGGAGAATGGACACACTGATTTGAGCTGATAGGAAGGCATGGTGTGGATGTTATTTTACTTTGGCCCCATTATACTGTTAGGTAGACAGCTGCATTTAGTGGTGTAGGTTACCCTTCATGACCACAGTGTACCCATGTTCTCATGGCTGCTGCCAACACGATAATGCTCCATGTCACAAAGTTCAAATCATCTCAAACTGATTTCTTAAACATCAGTTCAGCGAGTTCACTCATGTTTGGGCTCCAATATCACTAGATCTCAATCCAACTGAGCAACTTTGGGATGTGGTGGAACAAGAGATTCTCATCATGAATGTGCAGATAAATAGATAAATGTGCAATGCTATCACACAGATATAGACCAAAATCTCTGTGTCATGTTTCCATGTTACCTTGTTGGATGTGTGGAACAGAGAATTAAGAGAGTTCTGAAGACAAAAAGGGGATCTATCCTGTATGATATGCCTAATAAAGTAGCCAGTGAATAAGTACTGCTAATCTTGATCCTACTAAAACTGATGTCCATCACCCAGCATGCTCAGTTGAAATAAAAAAAGAAGTATTCATATGTTGGATTGTTAACATCGAGACATGTTTAGCATTTGCAGTTATTTCAGGATAGTTATATAACTTTATTGTTACAATTAGGTCCTGTGTTTGTCAGCTTCTCCTCTTTTTTTCATCTTTTCCCCTCTAAGAAATGGTTCTCAGTGCCATACATTAGATGCACTAAAGTACTTTTTTACTGTGGAACGATATAATCTAATTTATTGCCGGAGCACTTAGCTTCTGAAGGATGACAAGCTCTCAAAAATCATGATCCCTTTTGCCCATCAAGTAATCTCAGGCTTTAAACAGTTTATGTCCTGATGATATCAGATCCAGCAGTATACAGGATCCACAGCGTGCTGGTGTTGACAAGCGCTCATTCATTTAAGCACAGAAAATGTTTCATCTTAAATTCATGATTACACTGAGTGGCAGTTCTCTGCTGACTGACAGATAATGCTTGATACTTTTACACTGGTGGTGTCTGCACTGGTTAAGGCAAAAGATAAGGGAATCAGGAGGCCCGCACTGTGTTTGGCATGGCGTGTCTGCAGTGTTTGACGAGCCTTTTATCCTCAGCCCGAAGCTGACTCAGACTGGAACACGTGTCTGTCTGTGGATCTCTGCCTACATGCCTCTGCCACTATTTGCCTGTTTCTCTGTCCAACTGTCTGCAGGTGGCTGCTTTTAATTCTTCAGATGAATCCCAGAATGCATTTTGGAAAAACTGATTAATTAAACTAAATTATAAATTAGTGTCACACTGAGATAATAATCTACTGAAGGGGGGGGATCAAGTGGTATGCGTGTGTATGTTATTTAGCTCTCTTCTAACAAGCTGTGTAAAAGCTGGTGATTCTTATATGTATTATGTCAAAAATGGCCTCACTGAAAACACGTTAATCAACACTGCACGTGTGAAGCACTGTTACTGAAAGAGCATGAACTTAAACAAATGCACTGGGGAACAGTAAGTGATTTTTCTGCTATGCTAGGCTAGTTTTTATCTCACAGGGAGGTTTCCAGCACCCTTGCGACAGTTTACATGCTCTATTTACATAAACTATGCCACAGGCACTCTGGGTGTGGGCTGGCACACAGACATATTGGACACTGCCGAAGAGGGGGGCGATGATAAATGATTTATAATTCTGCATTATAAATGGATTACCACAGGGGTGTCAAAACTAACCTTTCTCTTCATTTTTCACAATCAAATCATGTGACGCCAATTTTCCTGCAGCAGTGAAGCCCAGTTCTCAAGAGGGAGATACATATTTAAAGAAAGTGAAAGCTTCTAAATGTCTTCCTCTTTTTTTAAACTGTGACTGAAAGAATAATGTCTTCTTTCCCAAAGCAAATTCAAATGAGCTTTTACTATCTTACTGCAGGAGCCATAGAGCACAGATCCTCTGGGAAAGCTCTATACCAGGTGTGTCAAACATAAGGCCCAGGGCCCAAAATTGGACATTTCCCACTGAACAGCTATGATAAATGTAAAGGAGGACTTTTAACTATATTTTCATGTGTTTTACAGCTTTTCCTGCTACTAAGGACCTCCCCATTGCCTTTCAAACTACACCAAAGTAATTAACCAATAGATCAACAACTAAATAACAGAAACCATCCCGAATTTTCTCTGAATTAAAAAAATCTTTCTGTTGTATTATTACAGGGCAATCCAGGCAATAAGCTTCTGCCGTTTTAAATATTTACTTCCTGCAATTAAAGCCAAACAGTCATGGAAACAGATTGCTTTCATTTAGTAGAGTAGCATTTCTTATTCATACAGAAAAACTGAGTCGTGCTGTGGAAATTGCACTTCTTTTCTTTATATTAAGGTATCTCAGGGATTAAATGTGCAGTTAAACTTTTTTACACTGACAGAAAGGGGAGTTTCATCGGTCTCTGCCATTCAGGTTGAAAGTGGGCTGTATGAGGTCCACCATGTAAAATGAGTTTGGCATCCCTGGTCTATACTCTGAGGTGCGTTTTGGCTAACAGTGTGGGACAAGGGTAAAGCAATTACTTATGAATCATGAGGCACACGTAGAATCAGAAATAATCCTGTTATGTTTAATCCTCTTATGGTAGTTTGCATTGCTGTAACTTGCAAATGAATTTAGCAGCAATATACTAAATTGGACAAAGTCTATCTTTTTTTTCAAACTTTTATTTGTGTGTTCAACTTTCATAATTATTATCGCCTCCTGCTATCACCAGGTCTGTGATATTACTGTAGCGTTTGTTTTCTTTAAGGCATCGTGGGAGCTTGAGCACTTATTTACTTCACCAGCAGCAACACAACAGAATAATATTAACCTAAATACGCCGGATATCTGCATTTTGTCTTTTCACCAGGAGAGGGAGTGGTGGTTCTACTGCAAACGGCGTACAAAGGCCTCGCTTGTGCCTTCAGCAGTCAACTGGATTGGAGTGGCTGAGCTGCAGGATCCAGTGAGCTTACATTTGTGCTTTGAGGGCAAAACATGGGAGCACTGCACTGGGAAATGAGGGGGTGCTGAGCTCAAGATGTGACAGGTCTTTCCATTACCAAGACTCATACTCAGTGGAACCAACAAGTCACCAAACACTAGAGTCATTTTACTTCCCGATGAGAGCTAATTGCATTTAAACAGTTTGCTTTTGGCAAACATTGCTTAAATTTTCTCCCTGCCTGTTTCACGCCCTCTGTTCTCTCTCTCTCTCTCTCTCTCTCTCTCTATTTTTTCCATCACTGCCTGTCAAGAAGTATCAGGAAATAGAAGCTTGAAGCAGCACTCTGCAGCCCTCTATTAATGTCAGTTAAACTCCATACCTGTGCCACCATATGGATCCTTGTCACCTGCTCAGTCATCATACTTCCTAATCCGATTAACCCTTTGAGTGGGTGGCAACAGCAGACAAGGGTGGCTATCCACGTAGAGCTCACCCTTCTATATACAAACACACACACAAAGCTCACAGAACCCTTAGGTGGTCTTAATCATCCAGAAGGAGATGCTCTCCTGCCAAAGTCACTTATCATTCCCACATGCCGGTTGCCATGGCGACACCTCATACATCAATCAAAGCTGCTGGGGAGTGCGTTGGTTGCTGAGTGCTATAAACAATATTTTAAGCCCTAGTAAGGCGATGACAAGGAAGACAAATTACTCCTCCATCAGATATTGCTTTCTCCGCCGGCTTCGTGTGGGTCCGGTTATCGTCACAGGTCATGTTCTCCACCGACCCAGGCTTTTACAGCCCCTGATTTGTTTTTGGAGTTTTCGGTTTATTTTTTCTTCTTCTCCAGCATATTATAAAGCTGTTCTGTGTAGCATGCAGCTTTGCGATTGCCAAAAGAAGGAGGCACATTCTTCAAACAACTTTCACACAGTCACAGTTGTATGCAGCACTTGTCCAGCGGATGATGTGCCTGGTAAGATAAGAGCAGCTGGCAGCTCAAGCCCAGAGATTTACAGATGAGACCACTGCTGTATTAGAGGCCATTGCCTCTCCTGTCCTCTTAGATATTTTTATCCCGTGGCAGTGTACTTGATAGTTCTGATCTTACTTTAATTTCCTTATGCCTGAATGAACTATTGTATCATTATGTGCTCAGCTGTAAGCCTCTCAGAGTACTCAATAACAAAAAAGAAAAAAGAAAGGGAAAGAAAGAAAGCCAGTGGAGGGCAAACATGTTTGAAATGAAGGTGTAATAGTTCCTCTCCAACAAAAGCTTAAATGATTTGGTCATTTGAGTCTACAAGGACAGCACCAGTCAACTTAATTCCCCACATCAATCATCTCCTATTTACACGCATGACGTGATGATGATCTGGGACTAATTTGGCTCAGTTTATCTGTGCACCATATTCATTTATCTGTTTATAAACAATTTACTGGTTGTGCTGCCTTTTTAGTTTATGTCCCATGGCAGGCAAGAATGCAATGACAGCGATCCCTCATTGTT